AGAGCCCGCCTACGCCGGCACCGCCCCCAACAGCAGCAGATCTGGTCCCGGCTAGAAAACGCTTCGAGAAAGCCCCAAAAAAGAGCTTTTCTTCGGCTTTTTTTCTGTAGCAGCTCTCCCCAGTCGCAGTCTTACCTGCTCTGAAGTGGATCTCCACAGAAAAAAGATTTCTTTTTTTTTTTTTCAAAAAAACCTCACCAAAGATTTCATATTATTTAATGTTATGCAAAAAACATTAGGCAAAGATGAATGTGATATGGATCGAAGCATCTTCACTGGTTTGTGAAAGTGGATGCATGGAATGGTTATATGAAGATTAATATGATTTATCTTTGTGAAACTATTTCGGATTATGAAAGGAAAAAGCAGTTACTACTGAGACAGTCTCATGGAAGTCATACAGAAAACAAAAATGTTACATTATTTTTTTTCTTGCTTTAATCTTTTATGTCTCAATTAAGAAATGTGTTCTCCCAGTGACCTGTCATTACATGAGAGCAATAAATTTCTTTAACTTACAATAACATTTGGTACAATACAGTACCAAATCAAAACACTATTTAGAATCATAGAATCATAGAATGGTTAGGGCTGGAAGGGACCTTCAAAGGTCATCTAGTCCAACCCCTCTGCAAGGAACACGGATATCTCCAACTAGATCAGGTTGCTCAGGGCCTCGTCCAACCTGGCCTTGAACGTCTCCAGGGATGGAGCATCCACCACCTCTCTGGGCAACCTGTTCCAGTGTTCTACAACTCTCATGGTAAAAAATTTTTTCCTAATATCCAATCTGAATCTACCTCCCTCTATTTTAAAACCATTACCCCTTGTCCTATCACAACAGGCCCTCCTGAACAGCCTCTCCCCATCTTTCTTGTAGGCCCCCTTGAGGTACTGGAAGACCGCTATAAGGTCACCCCAGAGCCTCCTCTTCTCCAGGCTGAACAGCCCCAACTCTTTCAGCCTGTCCTCATAGGAAAGGTGCTCCAGCCCTCTTATCATCTTCGTGGCCCTCCTCTGGACCCTCTCCAACTGGTCCATGTCCTTCTTATGTTGGGGGCTCCAGAACTGGACGCAATACTCCAGGTGAGGTCTCACGAGGGCAGAGTAGAGGGGGAGAATCACCTCCCTCGCCCTGCTGGCCACACTCTTCTTGATGCAGCCCAGGACGCGGTTGGCCTTCTGGGCCGCAAGAGCACATTGCCGGCTCATATTGAGCTTCTCGTCCACCACTACTCCCAAGTCCTTCTCCTCAGGGCTGCTCACGATCCATTCTCCGCCCAGTCTGTAATTGTGCCTGGGATTGCCACGACCCAGATGTAGGACCTTGCATTGGGCCTGGTT